TTAATTTATTTTCTGGTGCTTTTACTTCCAGAGACAGTTGTAAACACTGTGTAACTGCCTCGAGGGTGCTTGACCATTTGAACACAACGTGGTGCGATCCCCCTTGCGCGGAGTGAGGGTTCTCCACGCCGCACAACATGATCTTCTCGACCACCAGTATGGTCACCGCCAAAAAAGAACCGGAGGAAAAAAAAAAATGGTACCCTGGTTGCTGAGCTCACGAAGTGAATTGGCTTGTGTTACAACGTCGTTGCCAAGCGACGAAAACCCAACCCCGATGGCAAACACCGAGGGGGGCGGCTTGTTTTACAACGTCGTTGCCAAGCGACGAAAGCCCAACCCCGATGGCAAACACCGGGGTGGGGGGGGAGTCCAATGATGGGAGAAAAAAAAACAAATGTCATCAGCGGTCGCTCGTCGAAGCGACAGCTGGAATATCTTTGTGCGTCTCTCGCCAGCCTCCATTGGGAAAACGAGGCGATCGCTTCTAGTCTACAGCAGCAGCGTGTGCACAGTGTTTAAATGTAGACTACATTATTGTAGACTTCTGCTGCATGCAGCAGCTGCACAGCGGATACATGTAAGCAGGCGTGTGAAAAGAAGCTTAGCCGGTCATCACTCGCTCCAAAGCGCAACTTTTCATCATCCACAACCAACCACCACACAGGCGCTAACCAGCGCACAACAAGAAGAAAGGCTCTAGCACACTCTATTGACTGGTGTAGGCATACTGTAAATCAATCCGCTGTGTGACATGGTGTACAATAATATTTAGTAGAAGAGGACTCCGCGAAAGAGAAAAAGAGACACCCTCGTTTCCATTTTTCCCGTTAGGATTTGTTTGTCGTCGTTTCGTCACACCGCCACGCAAGAAATCCAATCCGTTCAAAGGATAAATGGAAAGCGGACCACGGATTGGAGGCAGCCCTGCACGAGCAGGGCAATTCGTAGGAACAGCAGCAGTCATGCAGACTACGTAGCGAGCACCCGCCTGACTACAAGCCATCCTGTTCCACCGAACTTAGTCAGTCTGTGGCGGGTCCCTCGCCATGTTGTCGAGTCACTGGCAAAGGTCGCAGATGTGCGCTCTTCGAAAGCGCTGGTGTACAGGTTCAAATCGGCCATCTGTTGTTGCATTCCGCCACCCGGTGTCCTACTGCCGTAGGCTATAAATTTACAAGACAGCGCTTTGTTTCGCAGCCCTACAGATTCCCGACAACGTTGCAGTACTAATCTGCACAACGGCCCTCTTTATTTCGTAGACCTACACACCCCGACTGTTGTGCAGTACATACGGCCGTACTGGCCAGCAGGTACATAGGTATGGACGGTGCACAGGACACAACTGCTGTGCTCGCCGTGCTGCCAGCGTTAGTTCGAGCATCAGCAACTATTTCAAACTCGAGACATCGAGGCCCTCGACCCGCGGCCCGGAGTGTACCAACAATATGTTGTGCTGTGCTTTCATCAATGTCGTCGTCTTAAGTCTGTGAAATAGCCAAAGCATGTCTCAGCACCACACGATAGCGAGTGGGCGAGAGAGGGCTCCATGAAGGAAACCAATAATTCGCATATGGACACTCGGGCCAACGTCGCCAACAGAGAGAAAAAGGTGCCTAAATACCGCCGCTTGCCTTCACTATTGGCACGAACCGGAATAAAAGTTTGGTGGAAACTAATCCCAGGAGTTCCATCAATGATGGCGTTTGGGTTCAAATGCGTATGGACTGGATATGTCCATCGTCCATCACTTCGAGGCAGGACAAAGCCTGTCGTGTGGCCTGTCTGTGGTGCTCTCTGTGTGCCTCTCTAGCTCTGCGATCATGGCGAACCGATATGTGCTCGTCAGGTCAGACGGCGACGGGCCGAAGCCGTGCGCCTTCTATGCCTCTGCGGCGGGATGCAGGAACGCGGCGAGCTGCAAGTTTTTGCATGGCGACCAGCCCACTGCTGGCAGCCTTGTAGCCAAGTCGCAGCCCCCGTCAGCCACCAAGGCCAAGCCGGCGGCAGAAGCTGTGACCACCCCGATGCCGACACCAGCTGCCTCGGTGACGCCGCTGTCGGCCAACGGTCACTCGGCTGCAGCTGAGGAGGCGGCGCGAGCTGCGAAGAAGAAAGCCAAGAAAAAGACCAAGAAGGAGAGAGAGGCAAGGGAGGCAGCAGCCGCAGCAGCACCAGCAACCACACCAGCGCCAGCACCAGCGCCGGTGGTCAACGGTCACTCGGCTGCGGCTGAGGAGCCGAAGGGAACTGCGAACAAGAAAGCCAAGAAAAAGGCCAAGAAAGAGAGAGAAGCAAGGGAGGCAGCAGCCGCAGGAGCAGCGACCACACCAGCACCAGCACAAGCGCCAGCACCAGCACCAGCACCTGTGGCGTCGCCGGCAGCACTCACACCTACCCCCGCGGGTACCCCTGCGCCCGTGGCGGTGGCTACAGGTCAAATCCTGTCCAAGACAAAGGCAAAGAAGCAAGCGTTTCGCGAAAAGGCAGCGAGAAAGGCGGAGGCGGCGGCCGCTCTGGCCACGGCAAACGCCAATGCGGCGAACGCCGCCGCCGCTGCTGCAGGCGCTGCCGCGCTCGCTGCTGCTGCACGTGCCGCGAACCCGTCGCCGCCGCTGGCCCCTCCGCCGACTGGTGTTGCTCCCGCGGTTGTCCCGGGCGCTGCAGCACCTACTCCTGTGGCGGCCGCTGCCGCCCCCGCTCTCCCTGTCTCCAAGAAAAAGAAGCGGAAGAACAAGAAGAAGACGGCGCCTGCGGCCACCCCACCAGCCGTACCGGCTCCAACACCAGGCACGACAAGATGATCAAGTACTCTATATGTTGCTGTATTTTATAACTACTCTACAAGTAAGCAGGGTAAAAAGAGGCCCTGTTTAGTCCCCATGTGTCGAGGCTCAAGGTGTTTTTTCTGTGCATGCACCGCCTACCGTGGCGCACCACCCCCGCGCGTTGAGTGGACACCGACACCAAGCGGCCGATGACCCCTTGTCCTCGCGACACCTGTCCCTCGGTGCGGTTTCGTTTGTCGTGCTCCGAATGTCTTGTTGGACTTTACAGCTTCTCCCGCCCCGGCTGCGACGCCAGCTAAGGCTGGGGCCGTAGTGGGCCCGCCGCCCCCGGTTTTCCGACAAATGCCCAAGATGTCAACGCCGCCGCCGCCGCCGCCGCCACCGCCGTCGCCCGCGACTGCCTCGAAGCCCACGACCAGGGTATGCTCGTTCTTCAACAAGAAGAAGGGTTGCCAGGTTGGCGCGCTGTGCCCTTACCTGCACCAGGGCGTCGAGAGGGGCGGGTTCGGGGGAACGAGAGGGCACGCCAAGCCGCCGACGGCAACGGTGCCGCCTGCCGCTGTTGGGCCACCGCCGGCCTCCCCGGTAGCCGTGGCGGCCGCCGCCGCCGCGTCCAGGAAGCGCAAGCCGGCGTCCTCGCCGGTCGCCCCCGCGGTCGACGTTGCCGTCGTTGCGGCCCCCGTCGCCGCGGTGATGCCGGTGCTTCCGTTCGCACCGCCGCCGCCGCCAACCGCTGTGCAGGCGGTACCGCCGCCGGCGGAGGTAGCTGGGGGAGCAGCCAGCGAGAGCCCTTCCTCTCGACGAAAGAGAAAGCGCGGCCGGTCAGAGACCCCGGCTGCCACCGCGGCGGCAGCAGGTGCGGGGATTTTCGACGGCCTTCCCATCAGCCCGTTCGTGGCGACGGCGGCGGCGGCGGACAAGGAGGAGGAGCCCGCGGCGGTGGCAGCGGTGATTGCTCCGGCGAGCGTTCCTCACCCGAAGGCTGATGTTTGGCAGGTGATGGGGAGGTTGCCAAGGTGGTAGTTCAGGGTCCCCACTCAGGTCCGCAGATTGATGTTCCATGTGTCTGTGGCAATCAGACCCCGGGCCTTTTATTGTCTTCCCTGAAAGCCTGTGCAGAGGAAGGGAGGGCTAATAGGACAGGTTGTCGAACAACCGCAAATCATGGAGCAGAAGCTACCAACTCCCAGTTTGAACCGCACTCGCGCAATTGTTGCAGAGTTGGATATCGCAGTATTCCGATCGTGTACTTTTCTTCTTTGTTTTACCAAAAAACAGATGCTCGTAGAGCGCACTCGTGCTCACCCTAAATTCGCCAAGAACTACCGCTTCGAGACCGACGCGACTTGGGTAACGGCGTCCCCCTGCGGAGATTCCTGCCCCGGCCTGCCCCAGGTCATAGCTCTGGATTGCGAGATGTGCATGAGCGAGGTAAGGCTGATGACTAGCTTGTAGCTGGTGGTGATGGTGGTGTACCATGCTGCTCCGCTGGCTTCCCTGTTCCACACTCTGGTGTACGGCACGATGCAGGAGTTTCGATATCGGTCTTGTTTTGTACGCAAATGTCATACGTGTTGCTGTTTGTGTCTCGCTTCGGCTGTATCTGTCGTCTGTTCTGCTTCCTGCTGCTGCAGCGTAAGACTCCGACTCAACAATTTCCGGCGGTTGTTCTTGGACGAGAGAATATTGACCCTCATCTCTCTCTCTCTCTTCCGCCTCCCGCATGTGACTATCGCGCTCGTTGTGCACATCAGGACCCGTTGAGCAAGGAGCGCAACGGCAAGGAGCTGTTGAGACTGAGCATCGTCAGGGGGGAGGACGGGGAGAAGCTCATGGACACGCTCGTGCGCCCGGGTAACCCCGTAGTTGACTGGCGCACTGACATCCACGGCGTTGCCCCAGAGCACTTGGAGGGCGTCATGTTCACACACAGGTACGTCCGAACTGGTAGTACAAAAGATGTCGATTTACGCTGCTCGGGAATCGCTGAAAAGAAGGTAGTGCCTGCTTCTGCTAATAGACCGTCGTGCCAGAGAGATAGAGGGGGCCGAGAACTACGAAAGCTTCCAGGGACGCTCTACAAAATTGTTCGTGTTGTGGATGATTCCGGCGTGTTTTTGCGAGTTGGGTCAGGGAGGTTGTGGAAAGTGTGTTGATGTTGCGGGGCATTCCCAAGAGCACAACGTACAGCAGTAGCCCACTAATCTTGATGCTTATTTATCATCCCGGACTCTTGATGTGCGGATGAAAATCAATTCGGTGTTGCTTTGTAAAGAAAAATTGAACATAACAACCTCGATGGAAAAAATAGGACGAAAACAAAAAATACTGAGGAGCGGGGGACTTCTCTGTGACGATTTCGCAGTTGGACGGTACTTCTGTGGAATCCGATAAAGAGGGGTTGTCAGGTTGAAGAGCTGTACAGTGATGGCGCCGCGTGAATATTAATAGTTGTTTTTGGTGATGGGATCACCTCGACAACCTTGGCTGCTTGTCCTCTAAAAAGCTGAACATGAGTTAATTTATTACAAGAACACACATACTTCGAAGTACATATTTATTTTTTACACACATCAATATTTTTCGTTGCCAAAACCCTTCGTATTTTGTTGCCCCGTCAATCGTCCCTCCACGTAACACAGGCACGCGCAAGTCGCTATTTCGCGCATCTGCTGTTCGCACACGGTCATCATCGGCCACGCGCTCAACAACGACTTGACGGCCCTCAAGGTGGGAGGGCGGGGGTGCGTGTACCAATGGTTTGCGTTGCCTTTTTTGACCACGCGTCCTCGAGAGGGCGAAGCATTGTTCGCACACGACCGATCACCGATGGCCAATCGTCGCTTCCTACTTTGCCAAAGGTGTCTCGATAAGGCTTATTCTAGCCTTCTATCCTATCGCCCAAGGCGTGTGGGGGGCGGGGGTGGGATGGCGATAGGGTAAGACGGGGTGGGAGAGAAAGCACGGGGGGGGGG